CAGGTATAATCATGTGCCCAAAACTAGGTCAACAAATCAGCCAATGGAACATTACTAAGAACAATGCATTCTCTTCTTTTATTTTCCCCTAACTTTACTGAAGTGTAATTGACACAAAACATTGTGTAATTTTAACTGGTACAATGTGGTTATTTGATAATGTATATGTTGTAAATTGTTTACCACAATAGGTTAGTTAGCACATCCTTCACCTGACATAATTACCATTTTTTTTGTTGTTATGGTGAGAACATTAAAGCTCTACACTCTTAGCAACTTTGAAGTACACAAGTATTATTAACTATAGTCATCATGCTGTACATTAGATCTTCAGAATGTATTTATCTTGTAACTAATAGTTGTACCTTTTGACCAACATCTCCCCATTCCCCTCACCCCTCAGCCCTTGGCAACCACCATTCTACTTTCTGTTTCCATGAGTTCAATGTTTTTAGATTTTATATATAACTAAGATCATAAAGCATTTGTCTTTCTCTGTGACTTATTTCACTTAGCATAGTGCCATCAAGATCCATCCATATTGTTGCAAATTAATATAATTAATATTCCATTACACACACACCATCTTTTTATCCATTCATCCACCAATGGACACTTAGGTTTTTTTTTCATGTCCTAGACAGTGTGAATAATATATTAATAACACATGATCCAATAATTTCACTAGTGGTATTTACCCAAAGAAAATGAAAGCACTAGTTCTAAAGATATATGCACCTATGTATATTGCAGCATTATTTATGATAGCCAAGATATTGAAACAACATAAGTATCCACTGATAGATAAATGGATAAAGAAGATGTGATTATATATATTATTAATATATTATATATAATTATATATCACTTACACATACACATATATATACATAATGGAATATTACTCATCCATAATAATGGATGAGATCTTGTCATTCATTTGTGACAACATGGATGGACCTAGAGGGTATCATGCTAAGTGAAATAAGTCAGTCAGAGAAAGACAAATACCATATGATTTCACTCATATGTGGAATCTAAAAACAAAACAAGTGAATAAACAAACAAATAGCAGAATCAGATACAGAGAACAAATGGTTGCTAGAGAGAAGGGGGTAGGGGGATGAACAAAACAGGTGATGGAAAGTGGGAGATATAGGCTTCCATTTATGGAATGAATACATGAGGATAAAAGACACAGCATAGGGAATATAGTCAATGATATTGCAATAGGATTGTATGGTGACAGGTGGTAGCTACACTTGTGGTGAGCACAGCATAACACATAGAGAAATTGAATCACTATGTTGTACATCTGAAATGAATGTAACACTGTGTGCTAACTATACTCAAAAATTTAAAAACCCACAATGGGGTATCACCTCAAACTGGTTAGAATGGCTATAACCAAAAATCCCCCAACCAACCAAACAAACAAAAAACAAAAAACCCACAAGAGATAACAAATGCTAGCAAGGATATGGAGAAAAGGGAAACTTGTGCCTTGTGGGTAGGAGTGTCAATTGGTGCATTCACTGTGAAATACAATATGGAGGTTCCTTAAAAAATCAAAAATAGTACTGCTCTCTTCTTTTAGAATGCTAATCTAGTTAGATGAAAGTGTGAACCTTCCAATGGCAAACACAAATGGAATTGGGGCTGAGAAAAGGAGAGTGTTAGATCCCTAACCTCACAGCTTGAGCACCAGCATACAGCTATGCCTGAAGCCAACCCATCCATGGATCTTTCACTACTTGACCTGATGCTATTTTGTCCTCTTAAAACATATTTATTTGGAATTCTGTTATAACCAGAAGAACTCTGACAAGTAGATACCCATATCCTTATAATGTACCACTGTTCCCATTTTACTTATGCTGAGGATCACTTACTGATAGTAGCTTGTGGTTTGTTTCTCAGTGCTATAAGTATTTTTTTCCTCTTATATATATTCTGCCTTGCCTGACCTGGGGGATAGGGCAGAACCTCAGAAGGAAATGACTGGGTAGAACAACTAGGGAGGCTGATCCCTAGGAACCGTGGCCCGTCTTTCAAGTGGGATTCTCTTGTTCATGCTTAGCATCAAAGTGGTAGTGTCGTCTGCTTTTTTTTTTAACTGCAGAAAAAAGACACCATACATAACATAATTCACCATTATAAAAGGAATGGGTAAAGAAAAAAATGGAATATTATTCAGTCACAAAAAAAAGGAAATCCTGCCATTTGCAACAACATGGATGGGCCCTGGATTCAGGCATTATGGTAAGTGAAACTGGTCAGACAGAGAAAGACACTGTGTGGTACCATTCGTGTGTAGAATCAAAATAGATCAAGCTCACAGAAACAGAAGAAAATATTGGTTGCCAGAGGCATGTGTGGTAGGGGAAATGGGGAGATGTTGGTCAAAGGGTACAAACTTTCAATTACAGGATGAATAAGTTCTGGGGAGATAATGTACAGTATGGTGACTATAGTTAGCAATACTATATCGTATTCTTGAAAGTTGCCATGATAGTTGTGCTTTAATGTTCTCACCGTAACAATAATGACAACAAAATGGCAATTATGTAAGAGGAAGGACACATTAACTAAGCTTATTGTGGTAAACATTTAGCAATATATGTGCATCAAATCATCAAATTGTACACCTTAAACTTACACGTTACATGTCAATTATGCTTAAATAAGGCCAGAAAAAATTTACCATCTTAATCACTTTTATTTTATTTTTTTTTTAAAGTTTTTTTTTTTTTTTTTTTTTTTATTTATGATAGTCACACACAGAGAGAGAGAGAGAGAGGCAGAGACACAGACAGAGGGAGAAGCAGGCTCCATGCACCAGGAGCCTGACGTGGGATTCGATCCCGGGTCTCCAGGATCGCGCCCTGGGCCAAAGGCAGGCGCTAAACCGCTGCGCCACCCAGGGATCCCCCCATCTTAATCACTTTTAATTGTACAGTTTGGTGGCATTAAGTACATTCACATGGTGCAGCTGTCACCACCATCCATCCCCAGAACTCTTTTCATCTTTCAAAACCGAAACTCTGTGCCCATTAAACACTAACACCCCATTCCCCCTACCCCCAGCCCCCAGCCCCTAGCCCCCAGCCCTTGGAAGCCACCATTTACTTTCTTTTCTTTTTAAGATTTATCTATTTGAGAGACACAGAGAGAAAGAAGACAAGTGGCAGGTGGTAGGGCAGAGGGAGAGGGAGAGAGAATTTTAAGCAGACTCTGTATTGAGCATGGAGCCCAACATGGGGCTCAATCTCATGACCCTGAGATCATGATCTGAGCTGAAACCAAGAGTTTGATGCTTAACTGACTGCACCAGCCAGGTGCCCCCACCATCTACTTTCTGTGTCTATAAATTTGACAACTCTAGATACCTCCTATTTGTAAAATCACACAGTATTTTTCCTTTTGTGAATGACTTATTTCACTTAGCATAGTGTCCTCAAAATTCATCCATGTTGTAGCACATGTCAGAATTTTTAAGGTTGAATAATATTCGATCGTATGGATATATCACATTTTATTTATCCATTTATCCATCGAGGGGCAGTTGGGTTGCTTCCACCTTTTGGCTATTGTGAATAATACTGCTATGAACATGGGTCTACAAATACCTGTATGAGTCCCTACTTTCAACTGAGTCATCTGCTTTTAAAGAAACATGCAAGTTCAAATAATGAGCATATTGACTAGTATGGACATAAGACCAGAATACCTCTCTCTGTTTATGAATGTGTAAAACCCTCAAGGTCCTTGAATGTGCATCGGGTAAGAGGCAGAGGGAAAGACTTTAAATTCTCTACCAGTCCATCAGGTGGGACTTAGATATAATTAAATTTAAATTGGAGAAATACCCATTTTGTAGACTATCTTCATAGCTGCTGCACTGATTCGACTAAATTTCTATTATTTGCCACAGAATGAGACAATTCTAACCATTTTAACAATTAAGTGAAGTATATTCATAATGTTGTGTAATTTTCACCACTATTAAGCTCCAGATCTTTTTTGCAATCCCAGATGGAAACTCTACCCATTAAACAATAACTCCCAGTTCCCCCAAGCCCCTGGCAACCTCTATTGCATTTTCTGTCTCTATGCATTTGCCAATTCTAACACCTAATGTAAGTGGAATCATACAGTATGTGCCCTTTTGTGTCTGGCTTATTTCACTTAGCATCATGTCCTCAAGGTTCATTCATGTTGGAGCATGTGTCAGAATTTCAATCCTATTAAAAGCTGAATATATCCCATTATATATGTATGTATACACATATATACACACATATTATGTATATGTATCACACTTTATATATTTTATATAGTATATAATCTTATGAATTATATTATATATACACCACATTTTATTTATCCATTCATCTGTTGGACATTTTGGATTCTTTCCACATTTTAGCTATTATAAATAATGCTGCTATTAACATTAGTGTACAAGTATCAGTTCAAGTCTCTGCTTTCAATTCTTTGGGGTCTACCCCCAGGTGGGAAATTGCTGATTCATAAGATTCTATGTTTAACTTTCTGAGGGATTGCCTGTTTTCCATAATGGCCTTGCCATTTTACACGCCTACCAGCAATGGACACGGGTTCTAATTTCTCCATGTCGTCACTAACACTAGATACTTGCCATTTTTAAAATGATACCTATCTTAATGAGTGTGACTTGGTATCCCATTGTAGTTTTGAGTTGCATTTCCCTAATGATTAATAATGTTGAGCATCGTTTCGTGTATTTACTGGCCATTTGTGTATCTTCTTTGGAGAAATATGGATGTAAAGTATGTTCAAGTTCATCCTTTGCCCATTTTTAAATCCAGTCATTTATTTGTTGTTGTTGTTGAGTTGAATGAATTAAAAAGAATTAATCACTGTGTTAGGTGCTAGAAGTATAGACACTTGCAGGCTAGTGGGAGAAGCAGACAATATTCTATTTTTTAAAAGATTTTATTTATTTATTTATTTGACAGAGAGAGGATTGAGCACAAACAGGGGGAGCAACAGATGGAGAGGGAGAAGCAGGCACCCTGCTGAGCAGGGAGCCCAACGTGGGACTCCATCCCAGGACTCTGGAATCATGATCTGAGCCAAAGGCAGACGCTTCACTGACTGAGCCCTCCAGGAGCCCGAAGTAGACAATATTCTAATGCGGTGTGGTAAATCCAATGACAGTTATATGCGGAAGGTATTATCTCAGTTTCAAAGAGGGGCACACTAGTGGAGGTGGGAAGCAGACATAGAAGTTTTCCTGAGGGATATGGTGCTTTGGGATTATCTTGGTCTCAAAGGATCCTAGGCAGGCAAAAGGGGGAAGGGCGGACATTCGAGGCAGAAGGAAAATCATGAGCAATGGCTTGCCAGCATGAAACATTCTGGAAACTACAAGCATCTATCTGCTGTTGAAGAAGCAATTCCAAGGCAGGCAGTGGCAAGAAATGAGGCTGGAGAGATAGACGGGGACTGGATTATGCCAGATGTTATGGGCTATTGTAAGGTGTGTTTAAGGCTTTATGCTGAGACCTATGCAGTGATTGAAAGGTTTTAAGCATAGGAGTTACATAGTCAAACTTGTGTTTTAGATCAGAGCTTCTCAATCTTTTTTTCTTATTCCATCATAGTATATATACATAACATGAGAATTTTGTATGGCATTCTGAGGTAGGTAGTCCTGCAGCTGCATGCTGCATGAGATGACAGGCCTGGGCTTTTGCTGCCCCCAACCCAACACAGCTGTCCCGAAAGCTGAGATATGGGGGCAGGGAGTCAAGGTAAGATTCCCAGGGTTTTTGCTTCGACAACTGGATGGAGGAGCTACATGTTTGAGAGAGGTGATTCATCTAGGGATAGGTGTAAAGATTTACTTTGAGATGAGTGGCTGGAGATGCTGATAGATGGTCATTATGTCCTTGTTGGCTCTATTGGCTATGGAGCCATGAAGCATAAAGACCAAGGAGCTAGTGCAGTGTGGAAATTCATCTAGCTTTGAAAGGAACTCTGGGAGTGGTTGTGATGGAGATCCACCTCCTTTGAAATGTTTCCCAGCCCACAGCCTCAAAGAGGCAACCTTTCATATTTACCATTTGACTCCAGCCTTTTGGACACAACTGAATGTTATAGGGATTAATATTTGATTTACCAATCAAATTCTCTCTCTTGAGAAGCAGGCATTGGGCCCCAGAGACTGAATCAACTGTGTGAGAACCAAGGCTGAAGGTCAAGTAGATCAATCATTCTCAAACAGTGTCCCCAGGTTATCCGAATCATTTGGGAACTTGTTAGAAATGTAAATTCTCGTGCCTCACCCCACAGCTACTGAATCAGAGACTCTTGGGTGGGTCCCAGCAACCTGTGTTTTACAAGCCTTCCAGGTGCTTGTGCAGGTTGTCACTGATATGTACTCCTGGGATAAGATTACCATTCTGGAAGTAGCCCTGATCAATCACCTGAGTGTGATAAGTAGGCAGAAAAAGCTGGTCTTCAGAGAAGCAGGAGACTGAAGGGGCCTGGGAGAGAGAGGGAGACAGAAAGAGAGAATAGAATAGAAGAGAGAGGCAGGCACAGACGTATACAAAGAGACAAGGAGAGAAGAAACAAGCTACCTGATAACTTTTCAGTCCTATGAGGCCCAATTGTTCTTCCTATGATCAGACTTTGTGAAATTTCCCTGTATCATTACATAAATCTCTTTTATTTGAATGAGGTTTTCTTTTCTTTTTCTTTTCCTTTTTTTTTTTTTTACAATAAAAGTGCTCTGATTCCCTAGTTGACTATTTCTCCAAAAATCTATTAGGCATTTATTGCATGGCTATTGTCAAGGGTATCAAGATCAAGTAGACCTGGTTCTTGCCCTTGAGAACCCCAGTTTAATGGAGGAGGAATATAGACAATGTCAGGAGGGTAGGGAATGTGGTTACTGAGCTTTGAGGTTACTTGCTAAGCACTAAATAAATATTAGCTGTATCTCAGTGGTACCTGGTAAGGCCAGAAAAGACCTCAAGGAAGACTTAATAGTTGATATATACCTTGAATGACAAGTTTTTTAAGAAGAGGAGGAAGATGGAAGGTGTTTCAAGTGGAGAGTAAATTAGCACAGAGGTATGGGAGATTATGGTATGTACCTGGGAAACGTAAGTGGTGTAAGGGCAAATACAAATTAAAAATAAGAGGCTTAATTTTCCTTGTCAGAAATAAGGGAGGAGATTCCTCCCACCTCTCTCCCTTTTCTTACAAAATTTCTTCCTCTGTCCTTGGGTATGTAAATCTTAAGTAATAGCTAAACAAGTCTGCTAGCTTCACAATTCCCCCACCTTTCCACAGGGACCAGGGAGCCACCTCTTTTTTTTCTTTTTAAGATTTTATTTATTTATATCATGAGAGACATACAGAGAGAGGCAGAGACATAGGCAGAGGGAGAAGCAAGCTCCCTGCAGGGAGTGGGATGCAGGACTTGAACTCAGGACCCTGGGATCAGGACCTGAGCCAAAGGCAGACAGATGCTCAACCATTAAGCCACCCAGGTGCCCAGAAGCCACCTCTTTGAAATGCAAACATCAAGGTTCTGGAGCCCCCATCTCAGTTCCTGTAGGAGGGTCACAGCCTAGCTTCCCCAGGGAACCTTGCTCCAATTTGCAAAACTGTCTCTTGGAGGTAAAGATATGAAAAGTTTGTTTCTCCTATGGATAAAGTCAACACAGGTCATCTCCCCAGTTACAGGATAAAGTTGAGATGAACTATGAAAAAAAAAAAGATGAACCACAAACAACAAAAGGTGCTGTCAAATCCTCTTACTTAAGGACCAGCTGTTGTTTATCTTGTAAACATGTATGTAATGGGTTCTATCCGCTGGCTAGACATGCGGATGATTCCTCTCTGCCTTCACAATTTCTTAATGGATTGCCAATGGTGTGCATCCCATTTTGGTTTGATGTTCATTCAATAAAAACAGTGTTTGCTTCCACTGCTACCTCTGTGGGGAGGGTTTATTGGGCTAGAAGGTCTTGGTCTTAATTATATTTCCCCAATGGTGCTTTGGTTGGGCTGGAGTTGGGCAGGTTACAGGAGGCAGGGGAGAGGAGAAGCTTGAGGGCAAGACTAAAGCCTGACTGAGTACAGGAGTTTGGTGTGTTTGAGTGTAGGCTTTATCCCATAAGACAGGGAAAAGAGCTGGGATATTTTTATTTTATTTATTTATTTTTAAATATTTTATTTATTCATGAGAGACACACAGAGAGAGGCAGAGACACAGGCAGAGGGAGAAGCAGGCTTCCCATGGGGAGCTTGATGCAGTGCTCAATCCCAGGACCCCAGGATCACACCCTGAGCCAAAGGCAGATGCTCAATTGCTCAGGTGCTCCGAGATCTGGAAGATTTTTAGCCAGGGAAGAGAAATCATGAATTTTCCAGCTTAGAAAAATGACACTAGTAGTAATGTGGAGGGTGGATGGTGGGGGGTGGGGAGGGAAGGGCCAAGTGGCATGGCACTAACTGTGGGCAAAGTAATAATCTTAGAATACAATTTAAGGGTTTTCTTAATCTGTTATCACTCAGAGGTTATTCTTGGATTGACCTTTCCCTAAGCCCCGAAACAATATCTGGACCTGCGTATTTTTATTTTTACCACAGGGGCATCTCCCCAGGATGCAGAGAATAGAGGACAAAAGTAGCAGTTGTGCCTGCATGTCTGCCACTTCTGGGCCACTTTTCCTGAATGGTCTGAGTGCCCCTCAGGCCCCACAGTCTCATCCCAATGACTCTTGAGGTCCTCTAGCTTCTTTAGGATCTACAATATCTCTGACGGTGTTCAGCAGAAGGAAAATTGCTTATCACAGTGGTCTCTACCGTTGGCTGGTGCTCGGTTTATGGTGAACACTCGCTGGAGATTCAGTGAGGTCTGAATGCCTCATTGATTAAAGTGCCTACCTGTTACCCCGGATTGTGACCTTCGAATGTCGGGATTCACGTGAGTTCAGCTCTTCCTATGCTAACAACCCACGAATGGATTTAACATAGGATTTTGTAAATAGAAATTGAGAAGAACCAAAACACTTCGAATGAACTATGCATATGTTTATTAAATAGTTGACAAAGGGACATCAACAACCACTTATTACATATATATGTATATATATATATATATATAATTAACACAGATATGTTTCTCTCTTAACTGCCAATTTCCCCAAGAAAGAATTGTTCAACTGTTCAGTTCATGAAGGCTAAAGGCAAAGTCTCAGTCCCAATCCTATTCTTCCCCCACCCTCTTCTTATGACCTACATTGATTCTCAATGAGTTGACCATCACCTTCTGTAGTCATAGCATCCCCAGAAGCATGCTGACAGCAGAGACTCCTCAGATTCCTTCTGTGTTCTCTTAAGCCCTGCTGGTAATGAGCAGGCTGTCCACTTTAACCAGTGTTGTTGCCACTGCTTGTTGCTGTCCAACCACTGTCAGCCTGTGATTTTTCACCAATCTCTTTGTTCCTATACATACATACAAAGCACTGAATCATTTATGGGGAGAAACCTCCCTCATTGTCATTGGGAAAACATGATTTCTCTTGCATCTGTTCTGTTTTTGTCCCAGGCGCGCCCTGCCTGCCTCTGCACTGCACTCCATTTTCCATTTACAACACAAAAATGCTGGGCTACGCTGACCAGAACTTCCTTCTTAGACTGATTTCCTCTTATTCTGATTTCCATTTTGGAATGCTCTGCTTTTGTTTCAGGCATCTGTTTGTAAGGACAGGAATTGGACCTTCTGTTCCTTTCATAAACCTCACCTTTCCATCCAGGTGGCTTCCTTTCTGTTATTGGAGCTCTTGGCTATTATTCCCCACATACCCACTGTCTTCCTGCCTAAGGGAAAGGTGTAAGTCCAGGCACTGAGAAGAAGATCTGGGCGGGCTCAGTTAAATTAGAATTTCTAGTGCAAGAAAGAGTAAAGAAAAAAAAAATCTATGTGTACCCAACTGTTGAATATTAGCAAGTGCAGGCATTATTAGACTGCTCCAGGAACATGATCGTGCATCAAGCCTATCCTGTGTCATGCTCTTTACCACAGACATTGACCATGTGGGTGGATTCTAACATGTAGAGTTTCAGAATGTTTACTATCTACTCAATATTTTAGGTTCATTATTATATCATAACTTTCCTGACAATAACAAAAATACAGGAGCTTTCCTTTTTGGCCTTCTTGAGGTGGTGAATGAATATACCACTCATCCGTAGGAATCTGATTGCTGCCTAAATGCTGTTTGCTCCAGTAAAACATATATCCCTCATCTAGACACATGACCACTGGAGAGTCATGCCTTTTAATTTTTTATCGATTTATTTTTTAAGTAAGAGCTACACCCAACGTGGAACTCGAACTCATGACCCCGAGATCAAGAGTTGCATAGCTCTATGACCAAGTCAGCTAGGCACCATGAGTTAGGCCTTTTTAAATACAAACACTCCCAGGGGGCAGCACATAAACACTGCCAGTCTCACACCATAGTGTGATCCTTCTCTTAGTTCTCAGCTCTGAGATGCTCTCCATAGCTTGAGGTGCCCCAACAGGGAAGTTATGAAGGAGGAAAGTTCAGATAGGTCTGGGGGAAGCAGGCCTGGTAAGTTGCTACCATGGAGCTTGTAGAGAGCCAGAGGTCACCATGGGGGATGAGGAAAGGAGGCTCTTAGAAGGATAGTGAATAAAGAGGTTGAAAAATGCCAAAGTAAACAGTTTACATCCAGTTTTGCCTGTGGGTCAAATTCCCTCTGGCCAACAGAGACTCCATTTTGATGGTGGTTGGGAATGCCTGCCCTGAATTCTTGCTTATCATTCAGCAGTTTCAAAGAGGAAGACATAAACTCAATATCGAAGAGGCCCAAAGACCTTTTGCAAATGTCTATATACTGAACTGGTATTCGTGCTGGGATTACCAGACTCACAGAATCATATACAACACACCCAAAGGCTCTTAGTTGGCTCATTGAGAAACGCCAGGGTGGGAACCACACTCAAAGGGACAAAAGAGCTCTTAGCTCTGTATGATTCAGCTGACGCTGGACCTCCTCCTTGGCCCTTGGCACAGTTATGGACATGTGAAGGATACTCGAATCTGCCCTAGTCTCTTATCCAAAGCCTCTTCACCTCCATTTTCTATCAGCCTGGCTACCAAACAGTGGCCAATGTGGAGACGTTCACAACTAGTGTTTTTTAAGTATTTAGAAATCTGACAGAATAAAATATCACCTGGTTACATTTTGCTTTCTTAAGGAACAAAAATGATCTTTTCATTCCAGTGCCATTTGTTGGCGAAAAGCAATTTTAAGCGAGAGAAAACATTGTGATAGAAAAATTCATGCATCTCATTGTTATGAAACCATTGATGCTCATCTTGAAAAAAAACAAAACACACAACACTGGTTTCATGTGTTCCGCTGAAGATGCAAGATAGAAATGAATAACTGGAAAATACAAACTTCTAATAATGTATCTTAGGAAATACCTCAGAATTGCTGAAGCACAATAGAAGCCAGTAAGCATTATCTCAAAATGTTGAGTTCTCTTTTACTAAAATACAAATGTGCCTTTCTTGTGTTAGTAACTTCAATATCAGAGGAATAATACATCTAATACAATGAATGTATTATCTATATAATTCATAATACTGCAGGTATAATTGGAAATGCATTTCTTCTATGTATGAAGTAGAACTTGGGACCAAATCACAAATTTAAATTTTATATTAGAATTACTAAATTTGAGGATTAATATACTAGAACAGGAATAGCTTTTAAGTAAACTCTTAATGCGTGAATATGGATTCATAAAAAAAGACAGAATCATGAAATTTACACATTTTATTAAAAGAACCAAAAACAAAAACACGGAAGTAGCATACTAAAATGAGTTGCATAATGCACATTTCTAAACACAAACAAGCAGTACAGCACTATAACTTGGGGAGAAAAAAAAAATCAAACCATCTACCCTAATAATAGCAGTTGAGGGAATGAGCCATTGCATCTTGCAGGCAAAATATGATGGGAAGAGTTTTTATATCTGTGAAACATCATGGTCATTATTAAATTTATAATTGTTGCACAGGGCAAATAATTTTCTCATCCACAGGTAGTTTTAAACTGACATTCTTCTGTCCCAAATACATGCTTCATTTTCTACATTGTACTGGATTGTTATATAAACACACAAAGTTATCCCTTAAAAAGGGAGTACATTTAGGAACATCTTTTCTTAAAATTTGAATGACTGTAATTTAGGGGTATGATAACAAACTGGTTCATTTGCTAATAATTAAAGAAGCAACAACAATAATACAAGGAAATTGATTTTGAAAAGGGCAACCCCAGAACCCAACGATATGATGGTCATATCATTCTCTCAACTGCTAGACACAAAAGAGCAACAGAATAATTTGGTTTCCATTATGAACAGATAGCATCTGTATACAGAAATAAAGCTTTGCATCCATGCAGTTCTATGTTAGATAAATCTTTTGGTTGTGTGTTTTGGGAAAAAGAGCATGGCCTAAAGTTGGGTTACTTTTCAGTCTTGTTATATAGGTACTTTTTTAAAGATTAAAGTAATATGATGTAGAAGGTGACTAGTGAGAATTTCTGCAATACCTTCAAATAGTTGTGATGTAGTCCACAGTGATACATTTCTTTCCTTTTCAGGATGCTATAATTGAGGATAGGTCCTGTCTAAAGATAAAATTTCTCTGGCATCATCCTGCTTTGGAGTATGAATGGGTGATTATTTTCTAGGCAAGATCAAGTAGAGGAGCTGGAAAGTGTATGAATTAGTCAAACCAAGCCCTTTCCCGGGTTTAAAGAGGTCCCTTTTTGGCCTCAAGTCATTCATGTTTTGTTATGCTTCATTCTCTAATTTGACTCACTGAAACACAGCCACTGTGTTTAAGCTCCAAAGAGGGTGACCCAGTGGCTGTCAGCATGTACAACATGCCATCAGCTAATTGGTTATCTTCTGTGATGCTTCTAAGTTCATTTTTACTATTTTATAGGCGATTCTTCTTCACTTAAAATTTTATACTTCTCTTGTCCTTATGAAAATATATTCTTGTGGCTCATAGATTCACAGGGAAATACCAACACAAGGACATGGGGTAAGCTGGGCAAATACATTGGTGATGAGGTTGAAATTGGAGTTCCTAACTACAGAATGCATGAATGCTGACATTTTGTACTGGTGGAAATGCTGGTCAGATGGTCAGGCTGTTAGTTGTGCAGCTGACTCTGATTGAGGGCTGAAGGCGGGGTAGGCAGGGAAGAGAAATTTCCAATCAACTGGCCCTGAGCTATTGGACAACTGTAAGGCTTGGATTACTTTCTGGCTCTGGCTTATTTTTCCGTCTCTGTGAGACCATCAAAATGGATAGTGATACTAATACCAACTCCCCTGATCCCAAGATGGGTTCCTTCTCCAAGGCAAGGGCGACACGCCCCCAGGATGTGAAGGACTCAATTTACCAGTGGTGACCTATCCTTACACCTTTCTAACCTCATTGCCCAGAGGCAACAAAAAGTTAAATGGTGAATGGTAGATGATCAGGGAGCTAGAATCCACAGAGATGGTCTGATTGAAACATTCTTTTCCAGCTCCTACATATGTGAGATTTGGGCTGGTTCTCTCCTGTTGAGTTAAAACAGTGGGAGGCTGTAGTGGCAGAGTAAAGCACTTTCTAATCTGGTAGGGGCAAGTCAAAAACAGTTTCCATTCAATAGGTATAAGGTAAATAAAGCCATTTATAAAGTGCCAGAAGCACTTTTTTTCTTTTGTTGGAGGCAACAAAATGCCTCATGCTGGCCATACTTAACTGTAAAATTCAGTCTCTCAATGGTTGCCAATGGGTTTTGGGATCTGAATTTTAAAGGGGAAGTAGTGGTGAATGTTAATTCTTTGATTGTCACTTAAGTGGATATTAGTTGATGTAACTGATACATCTCAATTGGTCATTTTCTGTCAACTTACAGGGCATCTCACTGCTTGCAACCTTTGAAAAAAACAAAACCTTTGCCAGAAACCTGCCTGGTGTGTGCATGTGTGTGTGTTTACAATGGAGATGAATCTAAAAGGCAAACAATCTTTGCTACTGGTCTTGCTAAAAGATGAAGGACCTTTGCTCTTTGGTGAGCTGAAGGTGACCTGTTACCTGTTACCAGTCTTCTCTTTTGGTGAACCGTAGCAAACCAGAAAGCCTCCCCAACAGCAAAGCGACACCATGCTTTAGTTAATTAAGTCTTCTAGCAAAACTCCCCTCCTTCTCAAGGCTTTAGGAACAACTCTATCTTCCTAACATTTCCGCTATTATCACAGATCTCTTATATTAAAAAAAAAAAGCTCCAAGCATAGCATTCATGGACTATGTACATAAGTGCAAAAAAGGTGTGTCTCACACTGTCGCACCCTAACTGAGACCATCAATGAACTGCAGCATATGTCTCTCAAACACTGTCAAGGGGTCATTCCACAGTATCTTTCTGCATGGTTTTACAAATGGAAATTAATTCTAAAATACACTTCTATCATTCTTTAATCCTCATTTGGATGTATTGGTGGTATATGATTCCAGAAGAGACAATTTTTTGTAGTGATAGCTATGCCTTGTGCATAGAGTAATTTGGAATAAAAAATGTTATGAAAAAAGGTCAGGGAATAGGTTATAAAGGCAACGATCATGTTTTGAAGTCTAAATACTGTGGAACAACCCTATCCACACAACAAATTCCATTAAGCTATAAAGCCTGACTCTAGAATCCATGTGTTGTAAACTTTTTGATCAAAAAGTCACATAAGGACACAAATTCAGCTTTCACCTGGCGATTTGGGCTTAAAGAAAAATTCAGCCATATCTATTCTCTGAGTTTTGAGCTGTATCTTCTATATGGTCATACTGTCAAAAACCATGTATAGTTTACAAGTAAAATTAACAGCAAAAAAAAAAAAAACCAAAACGATAAACAAAAACAATGTGTCTAAAGGTAGCCATGTTGTAGTTTTGTTGCTAAAGCAACGACTAAATATAATTAGTTAAAAATTATTATTCATATATAAAGTTAAGTTTGTTCTTAAACTGTGAAGTGTAAAGAATAGTTACACGGACTATAATCTATATCTTGTTATACGCCGGTGTCAGTTTAGAACCTATCTAGGTGGGTTGAGTACATGTAGTAAAATCTTAAAACTTTTCTCTAACTCTCCTGAATTAGTTACTTAGAAATATAAAAATGTAGTAAAATAAAAACCTTAAAAACTAAAGAGAAAAACAAAGGACATGGCACCAATTAGTGACTTGGTGCTCCAAACCTATATTCGTAATTATTATCTACAGTTTGATGATGCTATCAACTAAGTTTGCAAAAAAGTTGTGATACTCTTTTAGATACTATTCATTCTGGTGCCTTTGACAGGCACTGGTGAAATTAAAAATGAGGCCACTATCATCCTACATCTATTCAACAGAACTGGGAAATTGTATTTCTCCTCTTCTATTTCAATGTGTGTAGAAATGGAGAAGGCAAAAAGAAAGAAGATTCTAGTTTCTAATCATTCTGTGCATTACATCCTACCCTACAGACTAAAATAAGTCAGAACTTTAGTGAACACAGCCTAACGGTGTAGGACAACACTTAACGGCAAGATCAAAGTGCTTTCGTATGTTCAAAAACGGATGGTGAAGGTTGATGGAGGAGGGAGAAGATGGCTTTTCACATGAGAATGAACTACAAATTAGACTCTGGTCTAGACAAGTGAGATGAAATGCAATAACTGGCTACAGAATCATGCTCCGATTGCAAAAGTAAATACTGTATTCAAATAGCAATTTTATGAATCCATTTGGTTTTAATTTCATCTTAATCCCTCTTTTAAAATATACTTCTGTTCACATAGTACCTTTTTAACAAAAAAAATTTTGATACTACTAAAACCCTCTTAACAGATACTTTTAGATTATTTTCTCTGTATACCTGACCTGTTTTATCCAAGTTTCAGGACTCTTGCCTATTTTTGCAAAAGGCTGAAAGAAATGGACAAAAACAATAATTTTGGATAAATAAGAATAGAAGTCCTTGTAAAATACAAAGCTTATAAAATGTTAACTAAGAATCACAAGTGGTTAGAATTTTATATATACACTTCATCCAGTAAATTGTTGTTTAGAGTCACTGATTAGTTTGTGACTTGGCTTTTTAACTGGAAATTTATAGTCTAATGACTCTCCTTTCTTCTTTTCTTTTCTTGAATAAAGAGAATTTGAGTAAGTCATTCATTGCACAACTCGTTTAAAGAGTGCTATCTTAAAATTGCATTTTTGTTGACGTTCTTTTGCATCTGATCGAAACGTTAGTGCTTTGAATTTTCTTTCTTTAAATTCACTTAACAAAGTAACTGTTAAAATGCCAGCAATATCAAATATTGTGGCACTGAAACTACAACTACCCTGAATATCCTTCACTAAACCTCTTACTAAAAAATAAGTCATTACTGCTGTCTTCCAGTACTCAGAGCATCACAAAAACCACCGTACTACTCTGGGCTTATTGTCTATGTAACATCTTCATTAGAAGGTTAAAAGGTTAAATGAGACAGTACGTTGTATGAAAACATCTAGCTATGCAAAAGAGTTCATTTTGCACTGAAGACATCTCTATCACCTTAAAGGAAGACACCAAACTAGCTCAGGTGCATCCTTCCTGGATTTGTGTGATTAGCTCTGCCCTTCTGGAGAGGCATTGGCACAGGTTAGACAAAACTCAGTTCTATACACAAGCAATTTCACAAAGGCATATTCTACTTTCTTCTCTAACAACATTAAGATTTTGGGAAACAGAAATTAAGTGGTTCAAGGAATCAACAGGTCAAAGTCAGGACACTTCTTGTTCTCTCACTCCAGGCAATACTGTTAACAGATGACAATGTCTTGATGCAAGCCAAGACCATTTAGAAATTACTGATGATCATGATATAGGATTGATCATTAAGAACAACAGGATACCAACTACCAAACAGCTAATTTTTTGCTAAGCGAAGTGGATCTGCTTTGGAATGGAGTCTCAAATGTTCTGAAACACAGACAATGCGAAACAGAGGAAGTAATGAAAGTTGGGAGATTTTTCTGGGTCTGACTGCCACCGATTACAGAATGGATTAGGTAGCTGTGGGCAGGTCACATGTCCCGGGCCTCAGTTTCATCAATTGTCAAAAGGTTGTGCCAACTCCACTGTTCTGTGATTAAACACTGCTAGCCAGCTTAAGGTATCCTAAATCTGATTTTCTCTTTGCTTGTTATTTTCGTGAAGGGAAACAAACCTGCTATACATATTAAATTTGATGACTGTATGCTTTCTAGCAAGAGAATATATAGTAGAAAATATTAAATCTAAGTTGATGTGAAATATCATATGGTTCAGCACTAACAATAGTAACTTTAATGAAAACCTCTCTATTATCATTTTCAAATACATATAAAACAAATCTAAATGAAGAGACAAAAAATGGTTTGGTTATGCTATGACTCTGTTGTTAATAAAGTCTGGGAAGGGCAACACTTGACACAGGCGCTCGCTCCTTCACGAAGTGTTCAACGGAACTGGAAATTTGGTTGAACTGAAGCTAAAGACAACTGTGGACAGCCTTCCTAGAAATTTTAAGTAAATCAAAAAATACTTTTACATGCCTTCCTACCCCCTCTCCCCACTCCCACCATTTCTCCAAACCTATATACTTCTGCTCCAACTGTGATCAGTGGAGAAGACTGTCCATTTGGGGAGGAAAGGCCTCACTTGGAACCAATTCTCTTTCACCCTGACTTTTGCAAGATTGCGTCTTATTATTCAAAGAGTAGTCTAAAGAGCACTAGCCATTTTCATTCACAGAATGGCACTTGTGAAAAAGGTTGCATTGCAATGGTTTTCACACATTTTCCTCCAAAACATGAAAACTACCTTCATGCCTCCACCTCCCTGTTTAATTTAGAACCTACAATTAGCATACCTTTAAGCCTCCAAGTACCAATTTTCAGCTAAAGTTGACAAGTGGCTCAGCTTTAGACACTCAACCTAGGAGATAGGATCCTTGAACCACAGAAAAATGTAATGGGCGTTTTACATAAATGCTGAGAAATTCATTTAAGGGTAAATTGCAATTTTGCAAGCTTTTTAAGGAGTGAGACTAGAGCTTCATATTTTAAGAAGTTCTCTGGGGTTTTTTTGGTGAGTATTTATTTCTCTCTCCCCCAAAAAACCTAGGCACGTGATTGTATTATGCAAGGTCAGATCTGCAGGTATTAGATGCATATTTATGAACAGGTTTTGTGCACACTCAAAAGTGAGGTCTTTTGAATGTCTGCCATAAGAAACCTACAGAAATTTTCTAAAGAGGGAGAAAGCATATTAACATTAATCTGTCATGTTTTTCAAACACAGATATTTCTGTTTCCCATTAATAATATTTTACTTGAAATCTAACACCACACATCTAGAGGAAAACACTATAGTATGTAAAAATCTAACACACCACACCACACCACAATAGATACAATAGTGGGGAAAATGGTACTGGATACATTTGTTACATTCTAAATCAACCCAACAGACTATTGTGTAAACAAAACAGTAAGGTAACACTTCAAAACAGACAAACATTTACCCACCAAGAATGCACAGTGGAGATTCACTCAGCATAACGGTTATTGGAAAATCACAAAGAATAATGCAACAAACTACAAAACTTTATGGTCGTGTTCTACCTACTAATTCAAATTAGATAAGTGGTAGTTATTAATTTTCTATTCATGTTTTAACACCTCTGTTGACTGGTTAACGCTTCACTGTTTTTCTTTGAATGTGTTGATATGTGCACTTTGTTTAATATATTGACCGCACCATACTTATTGTTGCGTTGGTAGAAGAGGACCTATGAGAATATATATAGAAAGGCCATATGGAGGTTCTCACAGAGAGATCTTGATACTCCGTAACTCTGTTGTTCAGAATTTCAACTGAAATGGCAAAAACAAAAAAGGAGAGAAAGAATGAGAAATATTAAGGAGTCATGGAAGTAGGAGTCGGGATACTGGCTTCTTGTGCCACTTATGTATGCGAACTGCCAATATACTCCCCACTCTAAGTTTCATATTCTACATTTGTGAAAATGGGGCTGTTGGAAAGGGTCACAAAGAGTTATATAGTATGACAGTTTATGGTTCTCACTGAGTGCTAGTGCACAGAATCGCCCTAAGTTAACGGAGATATGCTCAGTAGATTAAGGCATCATCCACATAATGCCTCAACGTATTGATAAGCCTCCACCCATCTACCCACTTCCTTCAACTTCCTTCAAACATATGTTGAGAACACACGTTTGATACCAACCATTGTGAAATATGCAAATGTTAAACACACTTTAAACTTTTTAATCTGGATGTTTCGGACCAGGTAGGAATAGCCAAGGTGTGAAATCTAGGTATACAGTATTTTACAAAATTATGTTGCTGAACTTTGGAGAAATTTTCAACATCTGTTACATGTGGAAGTGATTATGGTGTGCCAAATATGTTTAAATTTTCTAGTGGAATATAGCAAAAAGGAATCCCCTCAAATATGTTCTATTGGAAAGTTTATCATTGTACGGGACTTTTGTTTACCTTAATGTAAAGTAGCCCATGAGAATCGGGCAAGTATTTGCAAAACCCATATTCTCATGTTTGATGCTAATTCCAAGTTGCTGCTATCCCAAATGATACTCCTGGATACAATTTCAATTTATAGCTACTTCAGTTATTCTGTGTACTCAAAGGGGTCTCTTTAAAACATTCCTTATGATTGAAAAGGCTTGTTTGTCTAATATGCAGTCAGCTATAGGCTCTGTCCAGGACAGAGTTTGCATGCTGGGCGAGGTTCTGGGGAACCAGTCTGTCAAGTGAACAGAACCATCACCTCCATCAATTAAATGAAACGCTCCAGTTGTGAGAACTTCAAACTTTCATTGATGAATAGATGCAATTCAGAATTCATACACTTGTTTAGTAAGTCCCTATTGTTAATTAATTAAGATACCTAGGAGTCTGAAGTGGCTTGAAAAGTCACATTTTCCAAATGAAGTACTGCTCAAATTAAGTGTGTGCTCTGTCTGGCTCTGGACTAGGCAAACAGGAGATTAAAGGTTCAAAGGTGTGGGTGGTGGGGTAAGAGGAATCCAACAACAGTTGTTGGGTTTTTTTTTTTAAAGCCACGATTTGAAGGAGAATGATTACATTACTAAATTATGTCACTCAAAAATTCAAAACAGCTGGAGCATTTCTGATAGACTTACATGGTAAACAACACAAAATGGCAGAGTGTAAAAAGCACGATCTTTTACAACATCATGGGAGTAGCATATTCCTGAGTGACTTTAAGATATTCATCATAGTCAGACCAACAAAATTACTTTGCTTTACTTCAACAAGGACAAAAAAAAAAACGAAGCTAGAAAAGTGTTAAAGAATTAATATTCAAAAGTGATCTGTGTCGTGGGCTGACAAATCAACCTCCTTTAATAACAGGAAAACATTTCAGAATTTGTAAGCTCTTGGGAAAATATAGTACCAGCTGTCATTTTTCATAGAAAAAGTTACTTATTTGCTTCCCACATCTCAATTTGGAAAATTTAAAATGCTTAACTCAAGCTCTAAGTTATAAGCACGCCTATTAATGAAAATATTTACCAAAGCCTTTAGCAAATGTAATTGTGTAAATAAAAGATATAACCTATAAATATTATTCATATGAATACTTAAAAAAACTTACTGTTCTACTGGTAACTTCTACATCTGTGAAACAAACATGCTGCTATTCAGTTCATCTATTGATAATGGGGTTATCTATAGTAGTAAAAAAGATTTTAGATTAAAATAGTTTCTTGAGAGAATCCCATTTATTTTGTTCACTGTTTGGACATGGTAATTAAAAATCATAATCAATTTCACAGAAAAATTTAGACTTATTAACCATATCCACTAATAGTTAATTTTGCAAAGCACAGATTCGAATGTGGCTTATTCCCCCAGTGGATTAATGCTCTACGTGCTGTGTGGTTATCATGGTAATTGAAGCAGCTGTGGAATGTGTAGTCTTGAAGCATGGTTACCACCTTAATAAGGCAAAACAGCCCTCACATTACATGATGATTATTTTATGTATCTCATTACAATTTTGAGACTCTCTCCCAATTTAAAATTTGTCTTTGGACTCTGCCTGTAAATACCTTAAAGCAAATGAAAATCACAATAACACAGGCACATCTAATGTCAGTGTGAGATCTCTGATGTCACCGATGAGTGTCACCGAGTGTCAGAGTGTCAGTGTGACATCTTTGATGTCATCACAGGGTAATGATAAAGGTATCTGTGTGCTGGAAAGAAGTGTGTTATCTGGCTTTCTTTCCAGCAGACCTGAAGGTAAAAGGTGATGATTGTACCAAGTGCAAGTTAAAATGGAATAACCAAAAAAAAAAGGGTAGTAAAATAAAATAAATTCTTCTCTTGATCAATGGGGAAGCATTTAAGGAGTACTTAGTATATGTGTTTGAGGATTGGTTTGACAGTGACAACTGTGAATATGACATATGAAGAGCGACCTCTGGTAACTGATTAAAATGAGAAAACTGCCAATGCACCTCAGGATGGGTGGCAGATACACCCCTTAGAGTATAAACAAGACCAGAAATTCTAAATGTAACGACTGCTTAGGAAACAAACAGGAATAGGGATCAATGTATCTTGCCAATCCCAAAAGCATATACTGTGCCTTACCAACACACGGTAGTTATTTAGGTCTGAACAGGTAAAATAAATGGCCAAACCTGATTGCCTGTAGCTGTTGCAGCGAAGGGAACGCTGGTAGCAGGTGGTGTTGCTGCAGACACAGTGGTAGGAGTTGCGCCGTGCATCATGGGCACTTTCAGTAGGAAACCATGGGAGCAACACATGGGAGGGTGGAGAATTTACACAACCATGACATAAACGATGGGATGGGGCGTGGTAGGTATCACAGCAACAAGCCATGTGACATCATCGTGATGGACACACCAGGGTGCAACATGCAATCACAGTCAGTGCAAAGCAACACAGCGTGGAAGGGGGAAAAATTTAAAAAGAGAAAGGGGAAAGCCAATTATAGTTACCATTAAGGAAAATGGAATCATTCTCAACAGTTAGTTGTTTATCAGAATCCCATTATATAGTTGACTTAAAAGGCCAAATTTTCAGAAGGGGTTATGATGAGCACATATGACAAAATCTGATTTTACCAAGGCTGGCTATAGGAACACCTTGCTGAGCAGACAAGTGACTGGGTTGCACATTTGAAATGTAGGTAGGGAAGTGTGAATTGGTGTTTGGCTTCAGTAACCTAAGAGACTTGAGCATGGTCACTATATTGTCAGGTACCAAGAGACAGCCACAGGTATACTTACCTGATCTACATGCAAAAAAAAAATTGGCAGTTTTATTGGTGGGTATATGATGGGGAAGCAGATATGAAGAATACAGTGGAGGTTTTTAAGTATGTCTCTGGCAAATCCCTTGGAAATCTAGGCTATTCATCAAACACACACATGGCAGCACTTCCTACTAAATATCTGACAAAATCTTGTCTTCATTGCAATTAATAAAGTGATGGCAGTATGACTAGCAGCTATAATGCCTGTTTCAGGATATTTTCTTTTGCCCTTTCTAGTTTCTACCTCATTTTAAAAGCTTTTTGGATGCTTTTCTCATTTCTAGCTCATTTTGGAAAGCAAATTAAGGAATTAATGTGCGAATGGTACTGTGTGAATGGTGAGCATGCATATGTAATAATTTATGTCTACATCCACTGAATTCAGATTTTCTGAAGTCTACAGAGAAAGCAAATGGCATGGAGAAAGAAAAATCAATATACACAATGTCACAGAAATCACAAATGTGCCCCATATGGTGATTAACAGAAATCCCATAGTGATCTCTTATGTGTCCAGTTACACATTACTTATAGACATCCATTATTGGATCACATGCCGATTCTAAAAACACTCTTGTTTTCCCTCTAGGACCACAGCAACTATGCAGGAAGCAGTGCCACGGAAGCGTGCAGTTTGCATTCCTACACAGAGCTGTTAGGTGAAAAGACAGGGGAGGAGAGTCACAAAATGCGAAGACAGAGATACATTTCACCAACTTGCAGAAGTCTGTTCTAATCATATGCATATGATGCTCCTGTTAGGATCAGGTGGAAATGTTTTTACTTCCTACAGGGGACAGCCAATCCCTCAATAGCAGAGGCCTCGCCTCATAACCAGGGTTCACCCCCTGCCTCTGTCTTTGACTGCTACTACTATGTGGTTGTTATTCTGACCTTCTGTTTTATCTCAATAAACCTGTTTGGCCCTTTTGGGATCTGCATCTACTCTGGTCAACCAACAGGATGGAGGCCAAGCTGTGGTCAACTTCCAAAAATGATGAAAAGCACTGGACTGATAGGACACGGGTAGGGGTGGGTATGGTGGGGTAACTCTTCCCTCTATCAAACAGAGCTACTTTCCTCCGGTCTGTGCCCATGGACTGTAGGAGCCAAGAACTCCTATAATGAAAACAAGACTCTTTCTTGTCTTCTTCAGTATTAGTAACAGAAAAATGGTCTTGAGATGGCTACCAGATTGTATTGGTGACTAATTGAAGGATCTGTGTGTAAGTGATCATGAATAATCACATACAATCATTCTGTTGTGCCTGGGTTCCACGCACATGACACTGCATCCTAGAATGCCACAGAATTCATCACATAACACTACAGAATGCCCTAGCTTTGCATAACTCCTCCTTTGTCAACATGTGAGTATTGAATGATTTAGATCTTCTAGATAACTTTGGAGGGGGGAATGCTTGGTGATACTTTAAAATACATAAAGTGCAGAATTCTCTTATTTTCTTCTTATTTGGGACGGAGTACCCTAACCTGCTCACACTTCACAATGCAACTGGTTTTCTATATCATCTGTATGTATAAATTATTCCAATCATGACATATTTGCATTATAATGGTAGGAAGAGGGGAAGGTCTGGTAGCCATAGTGGTGAAACCAGAGGAAAAAAAAGCTTCTTGAAACTTTTGTCATAAATATGCTCAGCCTTCCATTTGGCAATGGTAGACCCCAATAACATTTTCCAAGCTTCTTTACCTGCTGTTTTCTCTCCTCATCATGCCCCGACTCTTTCCATATGCCCCCTCCTCCCAAGCTGGTGGCCCATGAGCCACATCACCCAGTCACTCTCTTTCACAGTCATAACAGAGAAATACTTTTTTCAGATTAGAAAAAGGTGAGAATGTTCATACAAAACCTACCAACACTTGAAGCGGGTGCCATGCACAGTATTGGCCCTGTACACCATGCAGAAAAGCGTGAAAAGTAAAGGAGAGAGATTTCATTATTAAATCTTTACGGAGAGAAATAATTTTTATCTAGAAAGATATTCTTTGCAATATTAATTAACGAGCACATGCAAATCCAGTAAACTCCATGCTTACAATTACAGCTTAGTTTCAAGCTCCCCAACCCAGGTAATCAAAGTAATTCTTGGACTCTTAGGTATAAAAATGACCATAATTTTTCTTTAAAGGAATTACCTCATTTAAACTGCAATTTTATTTTGGTCACATTAACACAGCCTCCTCCACATCACGACCATGAACTTTGCTAGGCACGGGCAAATAGGCTTCCCATCAAGAGGGGGTGCTAAGCCTGACAGGTTTTAATTTTGCTATTAATTAAGGGGAAAGGGATGCTTCTGACATTTGGCTCCTAAATCTAGACTTTAAATTAGCCATCTCCAGCAAAAGAAGTCTAAAGATTTAAAAATTGTGTTTTTTAAATAAAGAACTACTGTGGTTAGTTAACTAAAGACTGGCTTTTTATGGCTTTCTAAATTAATTAGCTAATCAATTTATCCATTAACCACTGGGTGTTTTCAAGTATAGGTATACAATACCATGTGTTCGCTATGTTTACGTAATTAATAAGGCTTTCTAAACTAATTTGAAAGCATGTCAGTTTCATTTAATAATGGCTTCCAAACTGGGGCATTTATGATTCTGGTAAAAAAAAATCTATTGTACGCTCAGTGGTTAGTATTTTCAATTTATTCCTAAGAGACTCTATGCTCATTCTTAAAGTATTGAACCACAGGAAGAAAAGTATTTCTCCTCATATATGATATTTATTTGAGCAGAATTTTCTATTCAATTTGGTACAAAACTGTTATGCTATTACATACATTTGAATGTTGAAGGTAACAAAATATCCTGCTAGTATCAGGAAAATATGATAAACTGCTGTATTTTAAATATTAACTGGTATTTAAGAGTTAAAGGCTAAAAGTATGTGATATATGTGTGTGTGTGTGATATGTACGTATATATACATACATACATATATATATATCACATAAACTATACTGTCTTATAACCACTATAAGTTCGAGGGTAGTTTTATTATAACTGTCTTTGGCATATTGAAGATATATAAATTACATGTTTTTACAATGCTGAAGCTAGGAAACATTTTTTTTGAGGGGTAACCAGTGTCTTTTATTTATTTATTTATTTTTTTAAAGATTTTACTTATTTATTCATGAGAGACACAGAGAAAGAGAGAGAGGCAGAGACACAGGCAGAGGGAGAAGCAGGCTCCATGCAGGGAGCCTGACATGGGACTTGATCTCCGGTCTCCAGGATCATGCCCTGGACCGAAGGCGGCACCAAACTGCTGAGCCACCCGGGCTGCCCTAACCAGTGTCTTTTAAGGGGATACCTAAGAGTCAAGGAATTAGTTTGAGACTGAACCAAGTGAAACATTCATCAGAAGCAAAAGCTGAGAAATGCTTTTAAGAAAAATGTTGACAGATTTTCCTAGTTTGATTTCAAATCGTTACTTTTGAGGAATCATAGAAAAATTTGGTTCTATAGATGAGCAGATCAAGTACAACTGCCTTGTTGTATTTCCAACCCAAACACCTGTTGACAGTTCTCCCATAAAAACTCTTGGGCAGCTCATGTGCCCTATGTATACATGCACAACATGGCTAAACTGACAGTGCCCAGAGCCCTGTTCTCACCTGTAGGGATAAATGCCGGCTGTGGGAGCTGCAGGTTAGCCAGAGCCTGCTGGCAGTGGAAAACATTGGGGTTAAAGACCGGGGTGGCACCATTGGTCTTTTCAAGTGCTGATCTCTTTGGTATCAGTTGAAGCGTACCAGGCTGCAGGGCCTGTGAGGGAGGGATGGATTAATAAATAGTACCAGAGAAAAGAAAAACAGGTACTCAAAGCAAGCAAGCAGCAGTTAGATAACGTGTGGCCCTGGAAACCTCTGCAAGGGTATCCTATCCACTGAGCAATTTGCTAGATGAGTACTCAGTCCAAAACGGGAAATAAACACACAAGGGAAAAAAAACCTGGTTTTTAAACTTCACTCATTTAGGCAAATAAAAAAGTACCTCATCATTTGAGCCAAGATGTGACCTGAAGCTTACCAGCAAGTAATCACTTAAAATTCACATCTCAGGGATGTTCACCCATGAATCTATTACAATGAGATGAGCAGAAGCAACAGATACATCAGGAAAGAGATTTTTGCTAGTTAAAATTCCAACATGGATCTAGGAGGTCAATGGTATATAGGTGATAAAACAGATGTCGGGGGGTCAGAGTCTGATACTGTGGCCCCATAAAACAAAATCCAATTTATAGAAGGACTTCAAGTCCAAATCCTAGAACTGTGCTTCTCCCAACTACCATGTAAGGGAAAAGCAAATAAATTATTTTCTTCCCCACTCCCTGCCTCACCCAGATAACATAGCAAAATATGTGCAATTCTCATTTGTAGATGCTTGCTGTGCATTTCGGGATGTACCACTGGCTTCATTAAGTCCTTGTCAAGTTTAATTCTAAAATGCATTAGAATCTAAAATCCTTCTTTCATGTCTACACTTCTTTCAAAATCCCACTGTGCTTATTATATCCAGTCAAATTTGCTCCTGGGTCAGATTCACTGAAGAAGTTTGACATGACTTGTATTTTTCTGTCAGCAAATTACACGTGATTTAAAAAACATGCCCCAGCGACAAGAATTAGGTACGCTCCAAATTCTTAAGGAGACAGGAACACTTGTGTTGAGTGACTAGCATTCCATATGCCAAAAAGGGGGCAAGCCATGACCTCCTTTTGCCTATGGATAACAAAGTCTAAACCTATCTCTATATTCCTTTGGGAACTAAATATTTACCCTTCACCTCTTTTGCTTTTATTTTTTTTTTCTCTTTTGCTTTTAAATGCAGAGATGAAGTCAACCTGAGCTAGGCACATGAACATGAAGAAGGCAGAAAAAAAAATAATCTTTTACCAAGCATTTCAACTCTTGAATCTTTAAAAATATAGAAAGCTTACATTTCTTCAAGGAGCCTTCTTTATTTGATCTTACCTCAAACCAATTCTGGTAGGCCGATCTTGCCTTCCCCCTAAGATTCTACTCTAATCAGTTACTCAGAAAGGAATTTTATATGATATTCACAAATACTCAATGAAGGTAATAGTTAACTCTATATGGAAATTTGGGGCTGACTTAAATGTAGCCTACCAAACACAGCTGAATCATGAAAACAGACACATACATATGAAGGCCCCATGCCCGAGCATGGAAGAGGTGCACAATGGTATAAGCAAACCATTCCTTGTACACCCCATACATATGAGAACCTTTCCTTTTAGAGGGCCTACTGTTTTCCTCTTCTTTATTATAGGCTTACACTGCTTCTAAATAATATGTCACCAACAGCAATAAAATCAAAGAATTGGAAATCTAAAATCTGCATTGAACATTTTGGATACCTTGTTATTTTCATGGCTTAAAATCCCTTCATTCAAAATAATTTAAGACAAAAACCACTTGGTGAAGTCTTTTTAGAACTCATCAGCAGGGGTGCCTGGGTGTCTCAGTGGTTGAGCGTCTGCCTTCGGCTCGGGTCATGATCCGAGGGTCCTGGGATCGAGTCCTGCATTGGGCTCCCCATGGGGAACCTCCTTCTCCCTCTGCCTATGTCTCTGGCTCTCTCTCTTTGTCTCTCATGAATAAATAAATAAAATCTTAAAAAAAAAAACCAAAAGCACTCAAAATAGTTTCCTGTTTATTTATTTTTTTTAAAAAAGATTTTATTTATTTATTTATTTATTTATTTATTTATTTATTTATTTATGAGAGACTCAGAAACAGAGAGAGGCAGAGGGAGAAGCAGGCTCCATGCAGGGAGCCCGATGTGGGACTCAATCCCAGGACTCCAGGATCATGCCCTGGGCCGAAGGCAGGCGCTAGACCACTGAGCAACCCAGGAATCCCCTAGTTTCCTGTTTAAATGACATCGTTTACCCTCTCTCTAAAGATGGGGAAAAAAGCACAATTAAAAGCCTTAGTAAAGCTTTGAAACAATTATCTTTAGAACATTTTAGAGAATGAAACAGAATAAATAGGTGCTCTCTTTTCCAGCTTATAACCCTGGCTATTTATCTTAAGATTCATTCATGACTATCTAAGATTATGGTTACAAGTATTAGACAAGTTGAGGAATATACTATTATTTACCCAAATAGTTCACAACTCCAGGCCCCTTCTTACCATTGTGGTGGCAGCTGAGTGGTTCATCTGGTGATGAGCTGCCCTGAGTTTGGCTTGCAAATGGGCAGGAGGATGAAAGTACTTGCATTTCTCCCGGGAGCATCGCCCTTTGATGTAATCCATGCAGATCGTCACAGTATTATCACTTGCCTCAATCATAGAAACATCCGTAGGGTGAGCATAGCGACAATCATTTTCACCACGGGTACAGTTTCCACGCTGGAATTCTCGGCAAACCTTATATTAAAAAAACAAAAACAAAAACAAAACAAAACCCCAAAATACACATCACATTGATGCCTGGAAGGTGATTAGTTTTTACTTATTTTGCCAGTGAACCCAAGAGTAATAGTTTACATGATTTTGTCATCTATTTAGGAAAAATCTATAAAGCTGAGGGATAATATAATGCCATATTCACCGTGAGATGTAAACATAGACATTTCCAGTCCTAGAAAAAAAATCCTCCACTGTCTCTGAAGGGAAGTTGTCTGTTGTCCTTATGTTGAAATTAAAGCGCTTAAAAGTATTGTTGCAAACCACTTCATTATCTTCCAGTTAATTCACAGCCTGAAGTGTGATTAGCTAAATTTGCAAGAGGGGATTGTTTTGCTAAAGTCCAAGATGAGTCTCCCATCACACAGCAACGCAGTTTTCCCCCAGCAAAATCGTGGATCATGACTGAGCTACATGTACAATCAGATTCTATTATGACACACTGCCAGGCATTGTAAGTCAGCCAATGGCACTGACTCTATGAAATGGACTAGTTATTTATTTCAACCTATGAAGAATGACAAGGGAAGACTGAAGAACTTCTGTGAGTCAAAGCACTGTGTGAAGTTTCTTTTATATTGCCTTTTTGTAGGCAGTGGGCATATTTATTATCTACTCCATCATTCTTAAGATGGAGAAAAAGGCTTAGACATTATGATAGTCATTTAACATTCTGCATTCATAGAGTTAGATTAGTCTACTTCTCCTCCTCTCAGTCTGATCATTCTAGTAAGTAGAGACTCAATAGCAATACAGTTAATTCCAATCTGTAAAGTGGGAGCCTGGGTAAAAGGAGCCTTCCCACCAGGTTTCCTGCACCATAGCAAAGGGGATGCATAGTGTGTGGCTGCGCACAGTAAGACACTGTCTGACCTGTTGTACAACTGAATCAATGCACTTCATAGTAGGGTACAGCTGCAGTAGTAAACCATTTACCATTTTCCTGACATTACACTTCATAGGCTAGAAACCCAGGTGCACTTATTTAAAGCATTCAAAACACTGGGCTCTGAGAAAGTTGCTTTATGCATGAGACTAATATCTACCCTATAGATATTTATATATTTCTACACCAATACCTCCAGTTTATCCGAACGCATCATCTTGGGACCAGGAGCTCCTGGCAATGCAAGAGGTGGGTTTCCAGAAATCAGAACCGGTCCATTTGGTAAAAGTTCAGCAGGAACCAGGCCCATCCCAGGATGAGGTAAGTAGGGATTGAAAGCCATGGCAGGATTAGCTGCAAGTGACGGATTCATAGGAAAAGAAGTCTATATGTTTAAAAGAGAAAAAAAAAGTATTAGAGGTAAATAGATTCTACTATTACACAAGGACACAGTCTTTCAAAAAGCCTCAGTCATATCCAAATTTATCACTATTTCTTTTTGAGTCTCAAATTAATTACCACATAAGGAGTTACTTTAAACCAACAAATCTTGTTGAGTAACAAATTCATTGGGAAACTGATAAAACCAGCCACATAATTTTAAGTCATGAATTGGCCAAATGAAGTCTCATTGATGGAATCTCTTTGAAATGTGTTTTCTCTCGCACTTCCATTTTTTAAAAGATTTTATTTATTTATTCATGATAGACATAGAAAGAGAGAGAGAGAGAGAGAGAGAGGGAAGCAGGCTCCATGCCGGGAGCCCGACACAGGACTTGATCCCGGGACTCTAGGATCACGCCCTGGGCCAAAGGGAGGCGCTGAACCACTGAGCCACCCAGAGATCCCCACGCACTTCCATTTTTAACCTAAAAACCATACCACGATAGAGGCAATGTGCCCTGCAGACCAATTTCAGGTTCTCCTGAAAGCCCCTTCATTCCACCTTCCTTCTTTGGCATCAGCTCTGCCAAGATCTAAGCCTGCCAATCCTACCAAAGTTCCCACCAACCCTATGGATAACGGACTTCTCCTCTGGGCCCACAATCAATTATGGAAGACAACAAGGAGTGTGGAAGAAAGGGGCAGATTAAAGAAAAGTGAGAGTTCTAACTTCTTGCTGTCCACCTAAAATGAGATTGGTATGGTCATTTTATTTTTTTATTTTTTTAAATTTTTTTAAAGATGTTATTTATTTATTCATGAGAGACACAAAGAGAGAGAGAGAGGTAGACACACAGGCAGAGGGAGAAACAGGCTCCATGCAGGAAGCCTGATGCGGGACTTGATCCCGGGTCTCCAGGATCACACCCCGGGCTGGAGGCAGCACTAAACCGCTGAGCCACCCGGGCTGCCCTCATTTTTTTTTTTTAATTAGGGATTCTATTTCACAAATGAATCTGACTGGTCCAGCCCTGTCTTTACGTAGGGGGCCAGAAGATATCCACAGTTCAAAAGGGGGTCCTATAAAAGTGCTCCAAGGATCTCTGTTAGGCAGGAAGAAATAAGATGACAAGACTTTATTTAATGGCTATCAACCAGACAGAGCACAACTTGTAAAGAAAAGCATTAGCAATGCAAATGGCTCCCACGGTTTCTTCTGTCTTGTGAAAAGTCCTAATCTCAAGAAGCTTGATATATGTATTGCCTTCATTGTCTGTAGCCATGTAATTGATCACTTTATGCACTATTTTCCAGGTTGTTCCTAAGTGGGCATCATCTTTTCTTCTCAATGTGATTCTAATTTCTTCAATAGTTCTCATCTCCACTATTGTATCTCATTCTTAGCAAATAACTGATAGAATCCAAAATAAGGTTTAAAAATAAATTATTTAATGAGTTAATAACAAACCAGGGTTAAATGCAGTACATTTCTAGCAGGGACTCTAGGAGGTAGTTAGCGCACTGGTGTGCACCTGGTGGGGTGTCACAGTGTGTTACGAATGGCATGTATTCTTGTCTTCTTTGTGTGTGTGTGTGTGTGAATTTATTTATTTTAATTTTTTAATTTATATTTTTTTGTATTTTTTATTGGAATTCAATTTGACAACCTATAGTATAACACCCAGTACTCTTTATTTTTTCACTGAAGAATGAATCTTCTGCACTGTCAAGCTGTGCCCATACCTTCTGCTAAATCACATGAATAGGAACAGCTTAAAATACAGGTAGAATGGGAGGCTGTGGAGTATGAAATGAGGGGCAATATATATTCACCAACCCACCCCTTAGTCTGACTTGAAATCTTCACCTGTACAGCCTCCTCCACAAAGCTCATCCCAGGGCTCTGAGATCATGGTCTGAGCTGAAATCAAGCATCGGATGCTTAACCAACTTAGCCACCCAGGCACCCCCAAAACTACTGAATTAAGTGAAAGACTTGTAGATGAGTGGGTTTTCCGTATTAAATATCATTAATCATTAATACATACTGATCAATTAATAATATTGAAGCCTAATATCTGAGTAAGCGATGTTTCCTATTTTTTTGATAGCTCTGAACTTCTGTATTTTTTTCCTTCCTTTTTCAGGGAAATTTTCCTGGTTAACTTCCACTTCCTTTGGAATATATTGTAACCTTTTTAGGTTTGTTATATGCACTAAGTGTATGAAAAGAAGTCTTAAATTACTTAGAAGTCTGTATCTATATAAAAAGTGCAAGGGGCTTGCTGAAAATGTTTGGACTTTTTTCAGGTTGCACCACAAACTATATGGTGCTATCTTCAGGTTTTAAAATGAGTATTAAAACTTTTATAACCATTTCCTCCTTGAGTATAAACTTCATTCTATAACACTGTTTATTGAGAAGAAGCAAGTTTTTCTGTTCACAACCCTCAGGCATAGGCAGGAACTCCTGACCTCCTTATTTTACTTTCTTTCTTTTTTTTTAAAGATTTCATTTATTTATTTGAAAGAAAGAGAGAGAGAGCACGAGTGGGGTGGGGGTGGGGCACAGAGGGAGAAGCAGACTCTTCCCTGAGCAAGGAGCCCAAGTAGGGCTGGGATCATCACCTGAGCCAAAGGCAGACTCTTAACTGACTGAGCCACCTGGGTGCCCCTGGACTACCCACTGTCTAAGAGCTTATGTCCTAGGGTAAGGGTTGGTAAACTCCAGCCCCTGAAACAAATCTGGCCTGCCTGATTTGTATGGCCAAATGGTGAGAATGGTTTCTACATTTTTAAGTGGTTGGAAAAAAGTAAAAGATGAATATTTCATTACACATGAAAAGCATATGAAATTCATATTTCAGCATCCCTAAATAAATTCTACTGTGTTCATTAGGAGATTGTATTAACAAAAAGTCGTAGATAGGCTTCTTGTCCCACGAAGCCTAAAATATTTACTATTTTGTCATTTACAGAAACAATCGCTGACCCTCAATTCTAGAGGATTCCAAAAAAGTAAAGCGCAACATCAATTTCTGGAGTAAAGCGCTAATTCTATATGTATATGTATATAAATCTAATGCTTGTGACAAGATTCTGCAAGTTGAAAAGGTTTGGCTTTAGAAACCAATACTATAGTGTTCACTAAAATATTTTTTAATCGGTACTAAAATTAGGATTCTATTTATTTAACAATAATCACTCAGTGGCTAAGAATGGGAAGACAGAAGGAATCTTGTAAAGGTAAAATTTTAGGAGCCACTACGTATTGGGTCTTAAAAGATTCTGAAACATCTTTGAATCATAATACAATTCAATAAAAAAATGCCTGAAATAAATATCTCTGGTTTACACATACATTTTAGGAATGTCAACTTATTATTTAAAATGGGTTATCCCTCAAACTAGTATAAAGAAATAGAAGTGAAATGCTATTCCAGAGCAATCTTTGTGACTTCCCAACAGCTTACATCTATATGTACTTCAGTAATATCCAAGATCAGTTACAGTTACTGTTGGATGAATGCAAAATACTTTAAGTCACTTAGGCTAATCCTGGCCTGAAGTCAACATAATTGAAGACTTCCCTCTCTGAGCTCCTGTTTAGAGGCAGATGACCAAATGTTTTCTTTTATAGGATGGCAAACATTTGGTAACAATTTGTCGACCCGAATTTAATACCAGAAAAATAACACTCTTCATTTTTACTTGCACTCATTATACCTTAACTTTATTGCTCAGTGACAAGCATTTTTATAGTATAAAAGGAAGCCCTGCTCAACTGTCAGTCACCATGTGAATTTCTGTTCTTAGAGCACAGTGAAATGTGTAATTTTAGTTTCCCCTAGACTTTACTGATTTCATGTGGAGCACAAGAGAATAATCTTTGTTTCAGAGTTTTTGCTTGGTCACCTCCACACTCTCTGAGTGATGTTCTGTGGGGACTAAGGTGGCCAAATGGCATGCTGTAGGAGGCCCCTGGAACCTTCAGACTGGTTAATTGGTCCCTTAATAATAGAGAGTTAACTTTATAAACAGATGCAAGCTGATAGTGGTGTTTATGTTCTAATCATACTTGCTAATGAATAAGTCACTGTGGCTCAATAGAGAGCTAGAAAAAAATAAATAAATTCAAGGACCCAAAGGGAATGGTTGTCCTCATCTAGATCTGGCTTTTCTGACCTTAATCACAGAAGTTTCCATTGAAGGTAGGCAGGTAGGCAAAGGATCAATAGATTAACTCTGAATGTAAAAGGTGCACCTAAACACAGATCTGCATGATACCAGATGATTACTACAGGTAAGAATTTAGCAAGGGGCAAATGGCTTCGTTTTTTAGATGCACAAGGCAATTATAATTGTTCCTGAAAAGTGATCAAGGACTCAACCCAAAAATCACTTCTTGGTGAGGTGCTATGTCATTATAGTGATAAACAATGAACTAGTCTTCCACTAGGAAAGGAACAGTATTAAAAAATCAAGTGGTAACCCAATTTTAACAAAGGGTATTAAACAAAATGTAGAAAAGGGTGGATGACAAGAGCTGAGAAAAGCAAAGAACCTGCAAGAAGCCTGGAGACTATAAACATTTCAATAGGAATCCAGGATAAATGGATGCTAAGGGTTATAATTTTCAATGGTTCAAATAACCTTCACCACCATCACCACCATCAATACAACAGCACAAATCAGAGTAAAACTTTGCATGGCTAATAGAAAGATGACTCTACAGAGAAAAAAATTCCAAGGCTATAAAAAAATACAGAAGATCAGGTAGAAATCAGAAATTAAGAGGATGGGATCCCTGGGTGGTTCAGCGGTTGAGCATCTGCCTTCATCCCAGGGTGTGATCCCGGGGTCCTGGATCGAGTCGTGCATCAGGCTCCCTGCATGAAGCCTGCTTCTCCCCTCTGCCTGTGTCACTGCCTCTCTCTCTGTGTCTCTCATGGATAAATAAATAAAATCTTAAAAAAAAGAAACTAAGAGGATCACCAAAAC